AATGAACTGACACACAGAGTCGCCCAGTGCAAAAATCTCAAGCATTCTTTCGTATTAAACGTTGTGCCTAATATAAGCGTTTTCAAGCCATAACAATGTCTACGACGTACGCGCCACACGCTTGGTTTTTACACTGGTAACAGGCACGCTTCACGAAAAGTAAGCTGCTAAATAAGCACGAACTATCTCCATGTCATTATTTACACGTAGGTAGGGTGGGTCGTGCTGTGCACTTTACAAGTGATATAAAACATTCCGCGGTAGGATGCTTCCGCAAAGACTTTCGCGTGACCACGTATCTTAAGGCTGGTGTGAATATATAATCGAAGCGTCTCTTTCTTATCGGCGAAACAAACAAAACAACTGTGATGAAATCTGTCTGGAAAAAAATATATTCCGGTTATACATCAGAGCAACAAAATAGAGCCGTGAGAGGGGGCAATGCCTGAACGTATTTCTGGAAAGAACGTGATCAAAAATCAATTCCGCCTTCCACTCTCTGAGAGAAAAGTTACATTCAAAACGAAACTGAACAGCTGCCTCAAACCAGAACCCCAGTTTTAGTTAGGCACTTTCTGACGTGATGGCGACTTTCTCAAAAGTTTATGTCCTTAAAAAGCTGAGACACCGCATGGCAGTAAAAAGTAGACAAACGATTCGTTTCTATACCTTCCTTAATTCATTTTAATGCGGTCACCAACGTTCAAATTTTCTCAGAGTCAGCAGATTAAATCATCACTACCATAAAACCCTATGTTACCTGCCACACGGCATATGACTGCAACAAGATGATCAGCCTATCTGTAAAAGAATCTGAAGTATCAAAGGAAACCCGCTGCCATGTCTGATGACCAGGAAGCAAAGAGCTTTATTAGATTCCACATTCTCTGCCCAGCAGAAGTTGCCGCTCGATATTTCCGCACTGAAATTTTTACTACCAGGTCGATCAACATTAAATAAGAAACGGTTGGAACTGCAACACGGCAATAAAGAAGACGTTCGTACTCAGGTTTTCCAGTTCAGCAAATTTTCTTGAGACGAACTAGTAGTGAGCAACGGTTATGTCATTAAAAATAGCATAATATATAATTAAAGTTCGTTTCGCTGAAGCACGGTTAATCTGTCGACCACGGCAAAGATGCAGCAGTAGTTTGATCAAAAACAGTGTCAAGCAACCAACTATGGACTTCACACAAAAATGTCAAAAGTCTAGTAAGCGGTGCGGCTGCTAAGTCCAGCTGAATTTGCCTGCAGTTTACTCCTTTTTCGGCGACTTGTCATTGCAGCTGCTGAAGAACTTCTCTCGCGCTTCCAAAGAATTGCGTTCGAACACAGCCAACATCTGTGCCCTGGTCTTCTGACTTAGCAGATCCACGTCGTCGTTAGTGAGGTTCTCAGTTGAAATCGCTGGCAAAACATCGATCAGCACAAAACCTAAAGTCAGCAGTTTAACCAAAGCAGCCCAGAACAGATTTTAATAAACATAATGCTTACCGGGTGAAAACTTGTGTTCCTTTTTTGAGTAAAAATAGTCGTACGATGAAAATATCACAGGAATTATCGGAATCTGAAACAAAATCATAAGCATAGACCAGTGATTACGGACCGAAAGAGAAACATCACTCTCTAATATATACATATATGCATTGTGCAACATACAGTATCCCGTAAGACAATATCCCATATTATGGGACCATATCAAGGGAATTTATTGAGAGCGAAATTTTCTAAACAAAGAGATAAAACAAGCACTGGTAATAGAATGAAGCCAATGCATGAATAAAGACTTTGGTACAGAACTAAGTTCGCACTGGAACGAAGTTATGAAGCAACTTCCACTATCGAGTATAAAAAACCTGCATAGTGAAGTCTGTACCTAAGTACGCAGACAATTACTGTAACATTGTATCTGAAATATGTCGCTCCCAGATGACGGTTCGAGCATCATCCGAAACGTTGGAGAACTTGCACACAATACATAAATTTTATATGCACAATAATCCCGTAAAATACTTTACGAGTGTTGAACTAAATTTGCGCATAAAAGAATCCATCACCGTGCTTCAAGTTATATATATCAATGAGCCCCTAAAAATTCGAAAAACCACCTTCCCGTTTCACCGCTCGTACTCATCACTGCTTTTGCTGTTCCTCATGATTTTCAGTCTACATCTCGCCATACTTCGCTCTGCCATATGAAGCTTTTGGGCCAAAGTATTTCAGACCAGGTTTAACATACGTAAATTAGTACGTGTAGCATGCACTCATCGAAGGCGTTTACTTCGAATTTCCGTTCAGGCACATCACACTTTTTCAGAATCACACCGAGTTTTCCAAGCATGTTCAAGGCAACTTTCGCTCACCTGTCTTTCTTTGTTGGGATAATCTAAAGCAGGGTATGTTCATTTCTTTACATTTGGTGTCATTTATGAATTTTGAGTTCTTCCGGTGGTATGCAGCTGCCGAATATGACCGACTTGTCTTACGGAGATCCATCTTCAAGTACTTGAATCTGGTTCTTGGCAATTATGGACTTGCTTCGAAAACAGCGATGCTACTTTCACAGCATAAAGTCGTTCGTGCAAACTTTCGTTCAATGTTGACTTTTCCGCCTTCGGACTTCGATCCATTATTTGAAACACTTTAACGAAAACGGCAGGGGAGAACTTCTCAACCTTCACCCTGATGGACACTTTCATTGATTTTGATCATTTTGCTGTTCTGATGAAGTTTGAGAATGCATAAAGCCAGTTTGTGGATGTTGCTACTCGTCAAATGTTTCTTCTATCAGCCACCGTCAATATGCTCATAGCAGCTGCCGACGGCTATTTCGAAACGACGAAAATGAATATCAAATCATTGAACAATGCTCTGATGGCATGGAACCTGGAAACACATCGATCAGACTGACCTGCTTGACCAGACCTGAAAAATATTACCCTTGCCGCAGCAGCGAGGATTAATAAGTATCAGTCTGAAATACGATTTCTAACCATTTTAATGGTCACACCGCAAATCTGAGTTGCTTTGTTTGCTTAAATGAAAATGACAAAACAACAATAAAAATAACTGTCGGTATGGGCTTATTTCTGCATCATGTCCAAGGTTGCCAGCAGCGGTTATATATAAACTCACTGCAAACTACGCAAGCTTTTACTTCTATTACTGTGGGGATGGGTTTTATCACCGGCACTTTTATTGTAACACTTTTAATACCTCCAAATTCAGCGATGATTATGCGTAAGAGAACTTAAAGGCAAAGTCTTTAATCAGATGAAGGTGATCTGCAAAGAAAGACTGAGTTGCATTCATTTCTTCTCTTTAGAATGCAGTTCCACAAAAAGGCCGCCTTAGAGTGGCGGTCAGCTAGATAGGTTTCACTGTATCGCTTTTCAACCGAAACAAACCGGCAAACATTGTTAACGAAGAAAGCTGGAAAACCGAAAGCATCTAACAGTGGTTATAATAAGGTCGGCACAAAATTTTGTGCTTGCTGATATTTTGCCTTGGCCAACAAATGAAACTGAAAATAACTCATTTCCTACACCACGATGGTCCTTGAATTTGGTCAAGATGACCAACAAGATACAAAATCAGGCATATCTGTTGATATGGCGAGGCCGTTGCGAATGATTTGCAGAAGTTTGAGGAACCAAATTTACTGGCTGTTTCAGCTACTGCTATTCTGAGAACTTCACACCTTTTTCCTTCTGAGTAAAGGATTATTAGCATTATATTTCAAAGCTGACCAGTCCACAGCCCGGTTTAAGAATCACCGGCTTAAACAATGCTCTGAAAACAACACTGAGTGGAAAAAATGCTATCTAGATAGGCAGAAGTATCGAAATTATGAACAAAATTTTCAAACAACCATGCATAAAGGAAGTATCGATTTATGAACAAAATAAGCCATACGCAACGTAAATAATTTATGGAAAATTGATGAAATGATTTGTAAGGGTTATTCTCTTCTAATCAAAACACTTGCCTTAGCTTCAACGGCCAAGTAAAACGCTCCCTTTTTGAACGGAAGCATAGACTTTCCATGATTTCTTGTACCTTCAGGAAAAATCCATATCTTTATCTAAAAAGATAGTTATTATCGTTATGGCAAAATCATATGCTTTGAAATTAGACATTATTAATAAAAAACTGGAAACTCCAGTGCGGGGAAGCCCAAAATTCGTAAGCTAAATTTTAGAAAGCTGCATCAAAACTAAATTCTGAATACTTTTCAAAATGAATTATACCGATATGACAGTAATGAGTCTCATCGCACGACGCTGCAAACGTTTCAAACGCAGCTGAAGGCCAGCGAGAGGCGAATTCAACAAAACATGAGGAGATAATCTACAGTAGCATGTGACTCAGTCGTACCAACAAAGAACGATTCTGATGCCTATAGTCCTTCGAACATATGTAGATCGCTGAACTCTGGTGCGCAAGCGCATTACTTTATATTCGTATTAAGATGTTTCAAGATCTTAATATTTCTTCAGAGTTAAATAAACAGGTACTGGATTTAATATCGGTAAAAAGCCAGAGGCGAAAACTACTTATTTTCGGGAGATGTACTGTAAAAGATGAGTTGAATATCCAAGCTGATCCTTCAGCTTGACTTTGCTGATTTGGTAATGAATGTCGTCTGTTAAGACCTGAAAGGAATGAAAAAAGCTTAAACGAGTGAAGAAAAGTCAAACGATCCGCATATTTTTCATAACAGAGACATTCTGACCAATCTTTCTAGTCGGATATTCTGCTTTTTTCTCATTACAGTAGCAGGTACCTAAGATTGAGTAGATTGTAGCTACAATTTCCTCTTATTCGTATTTTTTAGGAGAGAGGATTACTTCGAGAATGCAATCATGACGATCTATTCCCCTCAGCTCTACTTATATTCTTGGAACTGACAGCAATGATAACGCTTCTCAACGCCTTTTGAATTACCGACATCACCTACCTCTTTCAATCTGAATGCCAGAAGAAAATGAGGTACTTTTCTGAATCCGTGTTGTTCAATTGAGAAAAATATTTGTTCAGCTCTGAAAAAGTGATGACTACATATAGTGATTACATAACGACCATGTTAACTTACATTTCCAGAAATGCTCATCAACATTTGCAAAGAACGTTACCTCAATGTTTACCTGGACCAGCGAATTTCTGATTTCATGTTAACACCACCGCCGTTGCCGGACCTAAGCCCGGTTCAGAAACGAGGAGGGTTGGACCGTGGCGAAGTCACCGCAAAACTGAGCCACCTGCCCTTCATGGTACTGACGTCATCGAAAACTATACCGGCTCGGTCGTCGCCCGGATTACCAGCTGCCGCGCAGCCTCTTGGCGGACTGGGTAGACTGCGAAAAATCACTCATCAGAACATCCTCATCGCCATCTGCCAGCCGGGGGCGTAGCAGCACACCACGGCTGACGAAGATCGACGGAACGATGACGAAAATACCAGTCAGCAACAGATTCGCTAACCTTTCTGAAAGGAGGAGGCAGACAGCGCGATGCACCTCAGAAAAGGCGTCACGAGAACGGCACCGCCAGTGGGAGCTTACAGGCGGAAATTCGAATATATCCTCACTCAGATGGAAACTGCAAGAGTTAGTCATAAGGTACCAAACTCGACAGAGTTGGACTATCGTCAACGAAGCACAAAGACTCTGGAATCCTGAACCTCTGTGGGTGGAAGCTATTCTACCCAGGTGTCGATGTCACGACGCGCGCTCATGCCGGTGTTGGTGCTTTCGTAGAGCCCAATCTTGTTAAAAAAGTCATTGCTTGGAAGCCTGCTACGGAACGATGGCAATCTTCCGCTTGATGCCACAACAGGCAAAAGCGCTGACTTTATCACAGGTGTGTGCGCACAATTTAGAGACGGAATACCATACCTTCTTAGAGGAAGTGCAGTGTACTCTCTACGAAGTGTCGAATACGGAGTCCCCATACTCATGGACGATTTTAATACGCATGTCCGAGTCAACCTTAGCGACCTCAACAATAACGGTTTAAAGTTGCTGCAGTTTGTGCAAACAACGGATTGCCCATTATGAAGACCTTCATCGAGCATCGAAGAATGTATCAGTATACCTAGTACAGGAAAGCCTGTGCACAAAGTCGATGATCGATTCAATAATCGTATCGTCTGACTTAAGACGCTCTGAAATGGACGTTCACGTTAAGAGAGGTGAAGAGCTATGAATCGATTACTACCTTGTTAGCATGCTGTGCTTTAAGAAAAGGAGTACCATACGAAGATCTGGTAGCAGAAGAGACCAGATAATCAAATGGGAAATATTATCTTGGGTAGAGAACATGAGAGTGAAATTTGCAAACAACATCCCGCGACGGTTTGAACAGATCCCTGTGATGACCACTGATGTGGAAACAGAGTGGCAGTTCTTTAAGAGCGGCATACTCGAGGCTGTCGCCGAATGCTGCGGATTTAAACGGGTTGGCCTTCCGCCTGGAGGCCAGAAAAGATCTTCTTGGTGGACACACAACTGGCAGTTAAAGAGAAGAAAGCAGCGTTCCAAAATGGCTTGGAAACAAAGAGCCTTCTACTCGCCTGCGATATGTCAAGGCATGCAAGGCGGCAGCGAAAGCAGTGGCGAAATCCAAAGCTGATTCCTGGGAGCAGTTCGGTGAGGTGTTGCATCGAATTTCCACACGGCAAACAAGGTATTCCGGCATACCATCCTCCGCCATCGAGGTGAAAAGAAGGGCAGTCTAAAAGTCTTGAAGGACAGGTCTGGACATCCCCTTACCAAGGATGAGGATATGGAGAGAGCACCCCTTAACACCAAGCAACCGCAAGAAGACTCGCCTGTAGAGCAGCAGGCAAAGGAAAATACTAATTCTGTAGATGAAATTACACAAGCTGTGAAAAACTTCAAAGGTGGACAAGCTGCTGAAGTTGATGAAATCCGCCCCGAAATGCTCAAAGAATTAGGCGAACAACCCATGTGCTGGTTGGTTGGCACGTGTCTATCAAACTGCAATGACTAGGGGGAAGACACCAGCGGACTGGAGAAGTTTTTGTAAACCTATTCAAAAAAGGAGACCACAAGGAGTGGTACAATTATAGGAGCATTACGTAATTTAGCCTTGCAGATAAAGTCAATGCAAAGGTGCTAGAAAGGAGGTTCCGCGGAACAACTGACTCCAAGATAAAAGAAAAGCAGTGTGGCTTCCGGCCCGGTCGAAGCACTTCTGACCATATATTTGCCCAGCAGCAGACTGTTGCGAAATCCTGGGAATTAGCCGATCCGATGTACTTGCGTTCTGCTGACTAGATCCAGCGCAACAGTCTGTGGTCATACCTGCGAACATACGAGATAGATTGCCAGCTGCTAGGCACTGTATTCTGATAGCAGGTGCTGCATCAGAGTAAATGGCGTTGCGTCTTAAAGACTTTCAGCTTCGGCACTGGTCTCCGCCAAGGCTGCGCCCTGTCCCCTCTCCTGTTTCTGTTGTAC